GTATATAGCAATAAAAATAACGATGAATTTCAGACATCTCCCCCGCATATTCTTGTTATCGGCTAGAGCTTTGACACTATAGTTAACATACATACATGTATCATTATCTTCTGTCAATCTGACAATGATAAGATAACAGTGATTATGAAAATACAGTGAAACAGAACAGTTACCACTCTGATATGCCTGGTCAATTGACATTCCAAGTGAACTGACTAAAAGGATGGTGGTCAACGCACCACGTCCTTTTTGATATTGGACTCATAGCCAAGCTGATTTAAAGGGCAGTGGTCGTGCAGCATGTGCACCACCCTTTAAATCAGCTTTGCTGAATCAAATAACACTAGTAGTTATCGATATAAAAGCTCACATGAAAAACGATTTTTTTATGTGTACTTTAAAAATGTTATAAAAATTGTGTTGTTGTTTTTTCTGTATAAAATCATATTTTTCTTTCCTATTTTCAAAAAACAAAAACAGTAAAGACCCCCCACTTCAATGAACTTTTTTGATGAGGCACCATGACAGAAGATATTGTTTCACTTACCTGAATATATCCATACATTATATAGAAGAAAAAGATCCCAAATACACAGAAGAAAAATTGTTGTCCTTTGGTCCTTTGGTGAATACTAATTCCAAGTAGCGTCATTTCTGCTGCCCGCTGTCCACTTGCAGGCATCGTTATTCGGACATTGTTTATTCTATCTTGATAAAGCGACGAGACCGGCGTCGCGTTCTTCATCTTGTCAAACTTTTCTATATACATTGACGAATAGTGGTTGTCGTTCAAGCTGTTTTGAACCCTGCCACCATGAACTACATGATGTTGTTTAGAAAATTCGCCTTGGGACATTTTTACGGCACAATGCAATATTTATAAGTATTGAGAGAAAAATATTAAATTTCTATTTTTTTTTAAAAGTATAAAACGTACGATTTGTGATAAAAACAAAAACAAAATTGTGTGGTAGCTGGCGTCGGCAGGACTGGCGACTATTTCACATATACATGTAGTTGTTAAACCCGGACACTGTGAAGCAGAATGTGCTGGTTTGTAATCACTTCATAATTTCACACATAGGATAAAGTTAAGTTCCGTGCAAACTAACGAAAATAAATCTTCATAAATGGATCAGAGTTGTGTATTGATAATATCCAATCCGACATCAACATAGTAACATCAAAACCACTTTCGATTTTCTACTTCTCAGTCTCCAGATACGATAGGGAATTCGCCGCAATTAAGTCACATAAAGCTTTCATGCCGTCATGTCCGATAATATTTCAATGTACATTTTTAAACATGTGTGCATATTTAAACTCCACACGTACACTATTATTCCTGCATCCGACATCTCTGTTTTCCGGCACGACCGGTTATTTGAAAATCATTTGCGTAAAACGTCATCAATTTCTGTGGTCGTTGATTGGCTGTCACCAGTTTATGTGTCTTTAATAAATCCAAGATGGCAGCCTCCACGATCGACTTCGACGCTGCAAGGGAAAGAATTTCGGTAAGGGAATTTTACTGTTTTGACTTTTACATGTGCTAGCTTGTAAAATGTGAATTATATACTCGCTGTTTTTAGCGAAGATGGTTGCGACTAGTTTGATATATTTGTGTCAGCTGGTAGCTTTCTGTAGAATTAAGCAGCTCTTGTTACTGGGCCTATGTTGCACCTATGTTACGACCATGCG